CCTCTGTCTGGCTTCCTGGCTTTTAATCCCCTTTCTCCTGCTCTTCTGGTCTGCTGCTTTGGGCGTCCCTGAGTTGTCCCTGGGGCTGACTGCTCCTCTATCCGGGTTCCTGGCTTTTATCCCCTTTCTCCTGCTCTGCGGTCCTGCTGCTTTGGACGGGCCTGAGTTTCCTCTCCTCACCTAATCCCTTTGGCTGATTGCTCTTCTCTCTGGCTTCCTGGCAAAATGAAAACAGAACTTACAGGTTTGAAAAATTCTGTTACAGAAACTGAGGACACATGTCCTAGAATTTTCACCAAGGACAAGGCTACACAATCTTTTGTTAAAGAGATTAAGCTTGTAAGACTGTATAGGCCAGAGAAAGAATGAAAAGAGAGAACATTGTCTGCCTCTTGGAATTCTACTAGCAGGAAATGGGCCAAAGGAGCTGCCTACATCTGTTGTCTTCCAAGAAAGAAAAGGGCCATCCCTGGAGCAGCTCATAAATCAGCACAAGAAGGATCACGGGAGGAAATAGGGCTTACAAGGTATCAAAGGGTGGAGTTGTAGTCTCCTAGATCTCAAAGGTTGGAGCAACAGCCTCCTAGGTTTCAGAGCCATGTCTTTTTCAGCTTAGTTCTGCAGTGTAGGACTGCCAGTCATGAGTGCCAGAGGGTTGGGGGCCGAGGAGTCACTGCCCAAACCTGAGGCGGTGGGGCTGTTATGTCCCTAGGGTTTGAAGAAGGAGGCTTGCCAGGGCAAGAAGGTAAGGTCACCACCCATAATGGGACCACCCATAGCCAAGGAAACAGAGTTGCCTTCCCAGTGGGCCTGGAAGGCAAAGCTGAAGCCCAGGGCTGAGAGGCTCTACCCAGAATTCAGAGAATATAGGTAACAGCTGGAACCTGAAGGGTAGGGCCTTTGCCTAGATGATCTAAGCTGCTGGGTTTTGGAGTTGTTTATAGTGCCTGTTCTTCCTTTCCATTTGTAATGGAAATGTCTGCCTTATGCGTGTTATATAAACTACCACTGTACTCTGCTCTAATGGCAGTAGTGCCTAAGGCATTTGACTACTAACCAGAAGGCTGGGAGTTCAAACTCACCAGCCACTCCTCGAAAGGAAGGTTAGGCAGTCTACTTCCATAGTGATATGGCCTTGGAGACCCAAGGAGGGGTTGCTGTGAGTCAGATCTGACTTTATGGCAGTGGGTTTGGGTTTTTTTGTTTTTGTTTTTTTATGATATTTTGGAAGAAGATAACTTATATTCTAGAATTCACCAGTTCACTGATGATGAATTTTGTAGAAGATGAGATTTTAGAGCTGGAGCCAATATAAGACTTTTAAGATGTGTTTTACAGTTGGCAAGGAAATGGATTTTGGGGGCTAAAGGGTGGAATGTCATAAATTGAATTATATCTCCCATGAAACTGTGCATCACTTGTGTAGCCCATGATTCTCAGTATTGTGTGGTTCCACTCCATTTTGTGATCTGATTATCCTCCATTTTGTGATGTAAATCCTTGCCTCTGTGCCTGTGGTTAAGGTCCCATTTGGGAGTGAGCTGTCTTGTTAGGTGAAGGAGGCAGAATTAGGTCATGTTAATGAGGATTAGGTTAGGTTTGTTATGTTCATGAAGTAGGATTAGGGTGAGATGCATCTTTAATCACAGCCCTTCATCAACCTAGAAGAGATAAAAGCAGAGAGAGGCAAGTAGAGAGAGAAGGACCTCAGTACCAAGAAAGAAGAGCAGGGAGCAGAGCACATCCTTTGGACCCATGGTCCTTGTACTAAGAACCTCCTATACCCAGGGGAGGGAGCTCTGGTAGCATAGTGCCTAAGGCACTTGACTGCTAACCAGAAGGCTGGCGGTTCAAACCCACCAGCCACTCCTCGGAAGGAAGGTTGGGCAGTCCTACTTCCGTAGTGATACTGCCTCGGAAACCCAAGGAAGGGTCGCTATGAGTCGGGGCCGACTCGACAGCAAATAACAACAACATACCCAGGGGAAGATTGATGCAAAAACAAATGGAGATCTCCAAGGGACACTGGGCCCACAGATGTTGAAAGGACACAAGAACCTTCCCCAGAGTCAACAAGGAGAGAAAGCCTTCCCCTAGACCTTGTGCCTGAATTTGAATTTCTAGTCTCCTGAACTGTTAGAGAATAAAGTTCTATATGTTAAAGCCACCTACTTGTGGTATTTCTGTTATAGCAGCACCAGATAATTAAGAGGTACTGTAGTGCCTAAGGCACTTGACTGCTAACTAGAAGGCTGGCGGTTCAAACACACTAGCTACTCCTCGGAAGGAAGATGGGGCAATCTACTTCCGTAGTGATACTGCCTCGGAAATCCAAGGAAGGGTCGCTATGAGTTGGGTCCAACTCGAAGGCACATAACAACAACAGATAATTAGACAAGGGGTGCCAAGGACAAGCCCTGGAGTTCCCATTGTGTTGCTGCAGAATCAGGGAAAGATGCTTTAGGGGGAGGGAGTTGTCATCTGGATTGTGTGCTGGTATGACTCCCTCAACAGATCACCCTTGTAATGACATGATTATTTTCAGATGGTTGGGCCTGGGGCTGGAAACTAGATCCTTCTGAAAGCCTGATTTCCTACTGTCTCTCTGTCAGATGAGCTACTTCAGGAGCAGCGTGCCTATATGGACCAGTTCACTGCCTCCATCTCAGAGACCCCAGTGGACGTCCGGGTGAGCTCCGAGGAAAGTGACGAGATCCCGCCATTCCACCCCTTCCACCCCTTCCCGTCCTTACCTGAGAGTGAAGGTGTGTATGATTAACAACACAGCTTCCTGGCAGAGAGGGTGGGAGTGGGGTTTGTAGGTAGAAAATGGAACTGAGTGGTTTGAAACTGGGTTCATTTGGGGAGGTGGTTTCCCTGGTGAGAATCAGGAAGAGGGAGATTAGATTATTGAACACCTACTACATGGCAGCACTGTGCTAGTTACTTTCAGATAGTTGGCTTGGTAATATTTCTCCCATTTTATAGATGAGTTACTTAAAGCCCTCTGTTTTTCCTAGTCTTACCATCTAGCTCAGCTTGTGTGATGCCTTATGCTTTGTGGATTAAGTAGCACTTTTGTTTAATATTGTATCAACTTTTTGTAATAATTTTGAGGGTAGGGAATGGAGAGGCTAAAGAGGGTAAGTGACTCACCCAAGGTCACATCTCTATCATAAGGTTGGGACAGAAGTTCTGTCCTCTGACTAGTAGTCAGACATTTTTTCCTCTGTTTCCTTGTTGGTTCTTGGTATCTAAAAGTGTAAAAGCTTTGAGTCTGCACCAAAAATAAACAAGCTCCTGAAAGTGGGGCCCTGAAACCAGGGCATGTATAATCAGATTCTCTTTTTTGTCTGTTGTTGCTGGTGGTGATAATGATAAAAATAATAGCACACAACTATTGACTACTTTTTGTATGCCAGCTTTAGCTCAGCATTTTACATATTTGCTCTCCTTAAACCCTTTCATGACCCATGGGACAACCGTTACCTACCTACATTTTTTTCCTCTGGGATTTATTGGGCAGCTGCTTCCCCACTAAACAGTGCATGCAGCCATCAGGAGACCTATATATAACTGTTTGAAACTTAAGAAATAGGCAGGTGCTGCAAATGACTGTTTTTTAAGGGTATTTTATGAGGTGATGCATCCTAGAGGTGTAATTTTGCAAAACTTTTCTCTCTTTTGGCTTTTTTATTGGGAGATAAGCCTTGTAAATATATTTATGGGTTCTTGTGCATTATTTAAGGAGCTCTGGTGGCACAGTGGTTAAAGCATTTGGCTGCTAACCAGCAAGTCAGCAGTCCAAACCCACCAGCCGCTCTACAAGAGAAAGATGAGGCAGTCTGCTTCTGTGAAGATTTACAGCTCTGGAAACCCTACGGGGCAGCTCTACTCTGTCCTATAGGGTCACTGTGAGTTAGAACTGACTCAGTGGCAGTGGGTTTGGTTTTTGGGTTCTGTGTGTTATTTGGGAGTTGCCTTTCTTGTAGTGATTCCATGTTTGCTCAAATACTACATTTTCAAGCACCCTAAATTGTATGCAATTGTTAAGGAATCCAGAAGGTAGTTCAGAGTCCAGAGGCACCAATGTGTCCAACATAATAGTATCAAAATGATATTTCATAACAAAATTCTGGAAATTCTCCTTGATTTGGCATGCTTTCCTTTAATGAAAATACATAGTATCTACAAAAAACTCAAAGCAGAAATAATTGAGTCATGGAAGAGTTCATTGTCCAAAAAACACTCCAAGGTAGGTACTGTAAGTGTTCAAATTTGGGGATTCTAAAGATCCAGAAGTAAAGTGACTTGCCTACGGTCACTTAACTTGTAGTTCTTCTCACAGCTGGTAGTTCATACTGTTACTATGAAACTGTCATGCCTCTGACCAGAAAGAGTATTCAAATGAAGGCCTGAGGAGGGCACCGCCTGGGAAGGGGCATCCAGTCTTGCCTTCAGGTCAGAGCCGAAATGCCTTCTAAACTACTTCCCTCAGCAAAGTGGGATCTGAGAAAGTACCCAGTAAATAAAGACTTACCACTCCATGCCTAAAGCCCATTCTTCCAAACCCCAAGCCTCCATGGGCTGTCAGGTGACCATGCATAGAGAGCTTCCATACTTGGTTGGAGGCATCCTGGACATACTGAACTAGAACCTTGTCTCCTTGTCCACAAGCCACAGCAACTGCCAACTTTAATGTTTATTGTTTTTTAGGAAACATTAACTTTGTAGACTAAGTAATTTGAGAATCTCTATAATTTCCCTAAAATGGCTTAAGACCTACATCTTTCCCTCTTACCACCTCTCAGTTATTTGCTTTACATCTTACTGCTGGTTTGTTTGTGGGATATTTCAGACATGGCTTTTAAGGAAAAACACTTTTTGTTCACATAGTAGAGAAATTTTAATATAGGAATTTTGAAAGAACCCATTTTCTTTCTTAATCTCCTTTTGTACTATTTTGTTTTTATTGTTTTTCTTTCTGCTAGACTCACAGCCGGAGTTGTACCACCCAGTGAAGAAAGGTTGGTTTTTCAAAGATGTTCCCTCTAAGACCTTCATCCCTTTTCACTTCCTCAGTGTGTCGGAAGTTTCATTTTATGTTTCATACCATCACCTGATTTTTTTCCACATCATTTTTCAAACATGGCTGTGAGGGGAGCCAGCAATACCCTTCCTCCATGTTGCTAACATGTTGGCTTGACCTCTAGTACTTAGAATGGTGGTTCCCATGATGTTTGTAGTATGATCATCCTCAGCTTTCCTTTGGGGATGCCCAGAGAATATGGAGTAACAAAACGGGTGTTTTTATAAATCCTTTTAATCTGGACAGACTTTTTAAAATATATCCATTTAAACAGGTTGGTTGTGGATTTCTAATTTATGTAAAAACGTCCTTAATTTAAAATCAAGTGGAGGAGAAGCTTTTTCTTCTTGCGTTCCTTTTCTCTGCTATACCCAATCTTCCCCTATCTTTTTAGATATCACTTGCCCTTTGTCTTCAACATTTGCCTCATATCCCCTGACTTGTAGCATTCCTCAAAACATTAGAAGCTGATGAATGAAACAGGATGACACAGGTGAACTCTTACAGCAAGCCTCTAATTATTTTAAGAAAAACAGAAGTATGCAAAGTACCACGCTCAACGCTTAATCTCATTTAATCCCCTTGACGTGAGTAGGGTTTTTATCAGAGATTAGGCACTTGAAGAAGTCTCTTGAGACATGGTTTGCTCAAAATCATGAGGTCTTACAAATGGAGAAACCAAAAATTCAAACCAGTTCCCTCTGTCTTCAAAGCCCATACTGTTTCTATTACATAAAATTGGCTGCTGACTTCTCCAAGGCTGGTGGGTGGCTCACAATCTCTACAATCATTGTGAATGAGTTCAGACATTTCATGATTCTTCGTATGTATTTTGTGAGCCTGTTCTTGGGTCTAGCAAACTGATAATGGGCAAGCAGTTCTGGTTTATGCCATAGCTTATTCTCAGAGCATAAAAATGTGATGTGAATCTTTTAAAAAATCACTTATATGTAGACACTTTATTTTGTTCTACTTGGATACTCTGCTTGTTGGAGAGCACTGTGTTACCATTCTTCTGAAAACATATTTGAAGTGTTTATAGCTAGAAGGGAATTTTTTAGAAATTTAATTGCCTTTAGCCCTTATATTTCAGCTGTTGTTAATTGGAGTAATTTAACCATTAACTACCTCTTAGTCTCTTGAAGTCACTTGTTTATCCATTCCATAAAAGTAAAGTGATTTTGGTCAGTATTTAAGAAACACATAAGTTATGCCACCAAAAAAGTATTGTAACAGTCTGGACTGATTAGAACTTTAAAGTAGTTGGCTCAGTGGACCTTATTTTTTTTAATAGGATCCTGCCCTTACAAGTAAATGACCTTTAAAATTCTGAAGGGTTGAGAGAGAGAAAAAAAAATGGAAGTAGCTCAGAATTAAAATTTATTAGGCTTAATCATAAGCATCCTTCCTAAGGCAACACTTTTCCAGATTCTTCTTTGTCTGATAGTTGGCATATAGTATTGCTGTTTTCTTGACATTTTGAGACTGCAAAAGGCACCCATAATTTAACTTACCTACAGGCAAGCCTACCATTCTTCTTTAAAAGGAAAGCTTTAGGACAAAAATTGCATTATTTTTGGCTGTGTTATATAAGTTAATGCATCCTACATTAGCCAGCCTACAGTCTCAGCGCCTGTGGTAGGTGTTATTAATTACTGTGTGTTGGGAATGAGTCAAGCTACAAACTGGAAAATTTTGCTGTTATTGGGCCTACTTTCATTATCAGTCTTTCACAAGCATATGAATGACAGTGCTTTGCTTATACTCATGTTTGGATCTTACTCATTTACAGATAGTTACCTTAGAATGCCAGGAATGTTATCAGGTTTATCTATTTATGAAAGGTGCAAATCACAGACATTTATATAGAACTCTGTATATTTGTTGTTACTACTAAGTAAGGAGTCCCATGTTTTGGAGCAAAAAATAAAGAAGATTGCTCCTCCTCTTTCCTCTCCCTGGGAAGGTGCTGAGTTCAGCCAGTCTGTGTATTAGATACCATCACTTGGAGTGCCACACATAAGTGATGAGGGCTCAGGTGATGTCTGACCTTGACAGCAATAGTGTTACTATTTTTGTTCTGTTAGAGAAAGGTGCCTTTTACCCTGCATTAGCATTCTCCCAGTTTATGGAATGCTTCCTTCTTTGTTCATTGTATAATAATTTACACATTTAGGATGGGCCCATCTATAATGTAGACACTTTGCTATTATTGAGAGGGTTGCAGTCTAGTGGGAGACACGGAGAAAATCTGTAATTATAAACTGTGATTGTAAGTGATATAGCCTGGAAATGTCTCCCAGAAGAAACGGAAGCTTGAAGAATGAATAGGAGGGATGAGTACTCCAGGCAGAAAGAAGTGCCTATGGGAGAAAATATGATGTTCAAGGCAAATTTGCAGATTCATTGCAAGTGTAACTTTCTTCACTGGTTCAGAAGAAACCCAGGATGTTGAAAGAGAAAGGTGTGGGATAGGTGATATCACATAAGAGGGTCACATGCTTTTCCATGTTAGAATGGATTCAGTTTCTTCTTACAACAAACATTCTCTTCTGGAGCCTTACCTGCCTTTTTTCCAAGTGAGAGACAAGTCCACACTCTTCTCCTCCACTATGCCCATTGGTCCTCTGGAGAATGCCTGTATCATTCATCTTGATAGAGCACTGCACATCCCCAGCAGTGTGACCCACATAGCATATTGAATAGCCTCCCTGGCCTCAGGAGTGAGTTTGCTGCTCTGTGAGATTGGTACCATGTCTCAGCCCGTCCTTGGAAACTCAAGTGTGATCTCTTGTCTATGCAGGATCTGGAGCAGGAGAGCATGATGGAGGACTGATAGGTGCTGAAGAGAAAGTGATAAACAGCAAGAATGAAGTGGATGAGAATATGGTGAGCCACTTCTCTTTCCTGCCCTGCATGTTTTCATTTTGAGAGTAATTAGAGTGAGTGACATTGTTTTAGATGCTTTCCAGATGACCTCTATTCTAGAAGGCTGGTGGGCTCAAAATGCTCCCACAGATCTGTAGAATTGTTTAGAATCTGGGCACAAGAAGGAATTGAAAAAAAAAAAAAAAAACTTTCAGCAGTAGCTTATCTCTTGCTATATAATAGGAAAATACCTTTGCAACTAAAGAGATGAAGAAAATATTAGAGGCCATTTTCAAGTGAGTAGAAATTTAATAACTTAAGACAAGGATAGAGTTGGGTTTGGTTCTTATACTACCTTAGGTTTATACCTCCTAGTCTAAAGGAGCCCTGGTGGTACAATGGTTAAAGTGTTCAGTTTTGAACCTAAAGGTCAGGAGTTCAAACCTGGGAGATTTCTCCATGGGAGAAAAGACTGATATTCTGTTCCCCTGAAGATTACAGCTAAGGAAACCATATGAGGCAGTTCTAGTCTGCCCTATAGGGTCACTAAGAGTCAGAATCTACTTGATGGCACACAACAGCACTTACCCATTCTCTTTCTAGTATCTTCCATCATTTGTATTCCTGGATTATCTTCTGAGTTTGATATTTCAACTTGGCTTCTTGGTAATCTGTCCTGAAATATCTCCCCACAACAGTTACCTAAAGAGAAATGCAGGACTTTACAACTGCACAGTAATCTTGCAGCCACACTTGCCCCTTTATTTAGGGATCTGGGGAGTGGATGTGAGAGAACATGACAGAACTATCACTGGTGTGTTTATGTTTAGCAGGTATAAATAGAGGGGAGAACTATGTTTATACTCAGTTTCCTCTGACATTCTCATGTGTGTTCCAGGTCATTGATGAGACACTTGATGTTAAGGAAATGATCTTCAATGCCGAGAGGGTCGGAGGCCTTGAGGAGGAGCCGGTATGTGTTTGGTTCCAGAGCCTAATGCTAGGTCTTATTTCCACCCTAGCTGTTTCTATTTTCTGCCTTCTCAGTTCAAGTAGAAAATGGGAGGGATGTCTGATCTCTTAATGTAACAAAGGTCCCTCATCTCTATTTTCCCCATGCTTCTGAGTAAGAAAGCTAAAATTTAGATTTCTACATACTGGGAGTTCCAGAAAGATGGCGGAATAGGCAGAAAAACTGCACAGACCCTCTTCAACAAAGAAAGGAGGAACCAATTAACACAGACACAGAAGATAATCTTGGACCCCTGAGCCTTGAAGGGAAGGATATAGAATTGGTCTGAACTCCAACTAGCAGAAGAATTTGCATGAAAATACCAAAAAAGGAGACATACAGAGCTGCAGTCTGGCAATGAGCCTGAGCAATCCTGACGGCACAGACAGCTTGGAGATTGCTGACTTGTGGTACGACCTAAGAATTAACCTTAAAATCAGCCCTGCTAGCCAGGGACTGCACAGAAGACTGCTCTGGTGGCTGGGGAATAAAAAGTGAAGCAGCAGCAAAGAGAAAGCCGAGCTGAGCTGTGGACTTTTGCCTGTCTGGAGGGCTCAGCCATTTTGAATGTTTACAAGCAGCTTGACCATTTTGGATAGTTAAAGCAACAGCATTCTCCCAGGTTCCAGGGACTTAAGAACAGGTTCCACTTGCCAGTAACCCCAAGGACATTCCGGACATGGACGGTTGGAAAGGTATGACATTCCCCTTGTTACTCTTATACCCCACACCTGCTTGGTGAATGGAGGTGCGGCCATCCTCCACTCCTACCCACCTTCTGGGCTGGCAGGAACTTCATCCCAATCTGTGTGCTCAGACGGAGCCTGGGTGATTTGGCCGGCCCTCCCCCAATTTTTTTTTTTTCCTTTCTTTTTTCTGTTTTTTAGTTTGCTTGTTTTTGTCTGTTTTAAAAGTATTATTATTACTGCTTTTGTCCTTTTTACTTTTATTCTTTATTCTTACAAATCTCTCCCCCACCTCTGGTTCCTAGTTTCCAGCTTTTTTTCTTTTCTGTGTTCCTGGTTGCAATTTTTTTTTTCTTGTGGTTAGCATCATTCTTTGTTATTCGTTTTGCATTTTTCCCATTTTTTTCCTCATTATTCTCCTCCTCTACCTTTTTTCTCTTATTGCCCTATCACCAGATATTGCAGGTTTTCTTGTTTTTTTTTCTTCTTCTTTTTCCTTTTCTTCTTTTTTTGGTTACTGTTTCTGCATGATTGCATGGGGTATTTTTTGTCCATGTGCTTTTTCTTTTTTGATGGTTATTCAATTATAATTTTTGTCAGAGTGGGTGACAGCAACAGTTCCCATAAGACACAACTATACCCACACCTCCTGCAACTTCATTTAGTGAGTGTGACCCACCACCTCCTTCTCTACCAACGGGCCAACGATAAAAAAACAAGAAGAGCCTGAATCACCCTTGGCTGCTCTTCACAAACAGTTACCAGAAATCTAAATACAACAACGCCCTGATGTCTCAGAGACAACAGACCATCACAATCCACACAGAGAAGCAAGATAAAGAGGTAGAAACAAGG